GATATATATATATATCTCAATGATAAATTCCAGAGTCATAATATACTTTATTTATCCCACACTTTTGGCCACTTCATCTAAATTCTTCCCACTAATCCAGTGCTGCTAGGTCTACTAACATCACAAATTTCTAGGCAATTTTAAATTGCTGCCATTAAAAACAAAACAAAAATGTTGTTTCTTTCCTTCCAAGAAATTCTGTCCAACATAAATTATATATGTCTGAGGTTCAAGATGGGTAATGCTCAGTCCAGGATCAGTAATAAGTGATATATTTGATATAATGTAATAGAAGGAGTTGAGTTATGCCTTTCAGAAAGGAAAAATGTCTAACTCTCCAGCAGGTTGCATCACTTGCTTGTATAGTCCTCTTTTAGGTTATTTTAGAAGTTTCTGAAGTATGTCCCTTACATTTTTTTCTATCCTTCTGAGCCTGCACTTAAAGGGTTAAGGCAGCCTTGCTCTATAGAGCAAGGGCTATGAATGACAGTAGCATATATAAAGCCTCTCTGAAAGATTTCGAAGAGACATTTTCTATAAAGCATATGCTCTACCCTACTTGATAATGTGATGCAGTAGAACAGTTTTATCTGCAACTCTTTGGGGTGACCTAAATAAACAACTTGTGGTTTTACAACTTCTGAGCATCACACCCAAATTCATTGCAATAAAACCTACCCACCCCATCACCATGTCTGTATCCATAGTCCTGGATCAGGCCAAATCCTAATCATCTTCCTCAAAGTAATCAGATTCAAGACAGCAATGCTTACAATCCCACAAAACAAGGATACTTTTAAACTACTGCACTGAAGTAACTGGGAGCTTTCACAACTACTTAAATGAGAGAAAGATCAGACCTCGTTTGAATAAAAACAACAGCATTTGACCTGATGTTTTTAACCTTAAATACAGATTGTGGATGAAATCCAAGCTTCTCTGATGTCAAGGACAGTTAAAGCAGAACTTTGTTTCTGGCTAAACATATGAAATTGAATATATATCCTACAGTGTTTTTCATATGTCATATTCTGTTATATTTCGTTCTTCTTGAGCAGCCTCTTTCTCTTGCTGTGGCATTTCAGCTATGTGGGTATTAATATTAGGCAGAGAATACTAACAAGGCAGAAGAGAAGGTGTTATTGTAAAGAGTTACTGGGCACGTCTACACCTGCATTAATGCACCATTTAGTACATGTAATAACAGGTAGTAACTTAATGAGCCGTAATTAGCACTACTGTGCAGTAGCGCCAGCATACGTTTTTTAGGTGACGCTAATGCGCAGTAGACTCTACTGCGTATTAGCACATTAGGACAGCTTTCGCCATGCTGTGCTAATGTGCAGTAGAATTAGTCTACTGCTTCTAGCATCTCATGTAGATGCATCCACTTGCTACTAAACCTCACCAGGAATTACTGTTAAGAGACAGTTTTTGAAAGCCTGATCTTCCCAGTGATTTTTTGTGCTCCATCTCGTGCCCAAACAACTGTAAATTTGCTATCCACCTAAGAGGGAAAAATGGGACTTTTTTCACTGGGATCTCAAGTTGCTCAGGGATTAATATCTTTCAAGAGTTATACAACACCCCCACAGAACCAGGATGGATTTGATTTAAATCGAATCAAGTTAAATTTTGATTAAAATCATTATTTAAATCACTGGTCAGAAAGCCTTGATTTAATCAGTTTTCTACAAAAAGTACATTCTTATTGTTTGATATCCTTTATTCATTTAACTTCTTGAAACTTTGCACTTTTAGAGAAAGGTAAGGGCTTGACTGTGTGTACACAAACTTGCAGAGAAACAATATGGCTGATGGATGGGTAATCATATCTGTTATCTCTCATCTCCATATACTCCTGATAACAAGGATGTTGTCGCAGTAGACAACAACCTCCCTATGCCTGAAGGTGTCCGTGCAGAAAAGTTTGAAAAGAACAATTTTTTCCAACTATTTAGTTGACCTAATAAAAGATATCACATCTACCCAAATAACTATGATCACTAGAGAAACAAATCCACAGTACAAGAACTGAAACTAAGCATCACAGAGATGCTTAATGGGATCTTCTAGACTGAGCACTGAGTCCCATTGGGTAGACTGGTTTTCTTTAATCTTTACTAATCTGTAGAGGAGCCTCTTGGAATCCCATAAGATTGGGCCCCTACTATAGTCCATGGCCTGTTGTGACCTATTGATAAATTTTCTAAAAAGATTACATGAATTTATGGTCTCAAATAGTACATAATTAGACGTTATAATCCCTATTCCATGATGATATTTTGAGGTTTAACATATCTTAAATTAAACCTATCTTTATATAAGTTATTTTTAATAAAAGCATCTTAACAAAAAATAAAAATATGCTTAAATAAAAATATGATTTAAATAAAAATTAAGATTTTTTTAAATTGTTGATTTTTATCTACTCTGCACAAAACCAGGGCAGCCTATAAAAAAACTAGTAGTAATTATTTTGCCAATATTGAATATTGATACTGATGATAAAATGCTCTCAGTGAATATTTCCTTCCTGAAAAATCTGAGTTTCCTTTGAGATTCATGGCATTAATGCTGCTTAGCATCACTGAAATTTTAGCTTATGTCAACATTGGGACTAGAATCCAAGCACTAAACAGCAGACAGGATCCCCAAGAGTATTTTCAAGTTGGAGTTGAGGATTGGGAGATTTTGATTTTTCTCTTTTAATTTATTTTTTTTTTTGGCCTTTTTTGATCTGATAGTGACTTCCATCCGTTTAGTTGTTGTTCAGTACATCAGGGATATTATTCAGGTTTCCAATCATATCTTTTTAATCTCAGTGACTCATCAATTAAATAGTCTGGACATACTGGGCAAGATGTTTTAAAATGACTAGTAATTTGCATACTCCATTTTTAGATGCTCAACTTGTGATACTTTAGAGGTTTGAGAGGTGCGGACTTGACACTTCCTGAAAACAGAACATTTGAAAATGTCTCAAAGTGGACACTCAAAAATACAAGCTATCCCCCAGAAAGTAGTGATTTTTTTAAGGGTTGGCCATTAATTTTAGCCATTGCTTTCCTAGTCCATCCCCTTCTCTGACATACAAGTTCCTTCAATTGTAGGAATTACAGAGTGAAATTTTGTGTCCTCTCTTATGAAGAAGGTCAGATTAGTAGTTCCTTCTGACCTACTTGCAGCATTTTCTCTTCAGTGTGTATATTTTTATAGGCACACATACACACACATACTGAAGATGTAGCTTCCTAGAAAGCCCTAGTAACACTGAGTTGGAAACTGAGTTTGGGGTTTGTGTTTTGTTTTTGTTTTTACAATACAGGGGGATACTATAGTTTTAAAGAATGGTTTCAGTTGTCCTTCTTGAATGGCAGTCGGCATCTCTAGACGTCTAGAAATGCTAGAAACATTTTGTAGGTGAAAATAGCCACTTTTTCCACGGTGGAGAGTCCATAAAACTGCTTGGAGCATCACTATTGGGGCTCATTGAATAATTCATCCCTCATTGCAAGCCCATAATGTCTTTTCTCGGCCTTTTGTGGGGCTGTTTTCTCTTCTTTTCTCCTTGAATTATAAAAAGGTTGCCTTCTTTTGTTCACATCAAGCTGCTGCTCGCTGAAGCTTTGTCTGTGCAAAGCTAAAGTGTGAGTTTCAATGGACTCTCCCCTCTTTGTTTTCCAAGTTCATCTCCAAGTGTAGATTGTGTATAGAAGGCCTTCTTTGTAAAAGCTGGAAAAGTTGTACAAATGTTTGACCAGCTCATTTGGTACTTTTGTCTCCTCTTCTTCAGCATCTCTGCATGTGCAGGGCAAGCTCTGGAGGAGGAGGGCTAGGAACTTCTAGCAACAAGTACCACAGCACTGGCAATAGCCTGTCTATCTCTCCACCAAACCCAGGCCTGGAAAACCTGCTAGGAGCTCTGGCCATCCCTTTTCTCTGGCTTAGGTTGCGTATTTCATTTCATTTATTTCCCAGCCAGCAACACAGGCTTTCCACTGGGCCGTGGTAAAAATGAATGAAATTACAACGAATGCAAATCTTAGGCCATGAAACCACGGTTGTATTTTTCTCAAGCCAAAATTGCCATTTGTTTTTAGACTTCTTGTTTAGTTGAGTTTTATTTATTTATTTATTTATTTAAGGTTCCTCTTCCCCAGCCTCAGCTCCCCCTAGCTGTTTCTGTCTCCTCTGAGTGCCTGTTAGAAATGTGGAGCTGGAACAGCCCTAGCAGATACAATAAGAGCTTTCTAAAATCACAGAAAATGGCAGCACTATGCAAAACTGTAAGGGAAGGAAATTCTGAGACCCACTTGGACATTGTACAGGCTGTTGCTTTTATCACCCCAGGGGCTGCCCCTCTGATGTTTATTCAGGCAAAGACTCTCCCTGGAGTCAGGATGACAGGATTCGGCCTCTCCCATGGAGAGAGACTCTGTCCCTTTTTTAAATCTTTTCAGTTTAAATGCTGACAGCCTCCCGCAGCTCTCTGGTTTAAGCACATGGTGGGATCAGTGCACATGCAAGATACTCTTTCCTCTTACCTTTGCATTCACACCTGCCTCCAAACTCAGCCTGAGTGATAAGAAAATCCCCATCCCCTCCATGCCCGAGACAACCAGACAGAGTCACTAGCAAAACCCTGGGTGTGCTGGTAGCCAAGGCTCACAAGCTCCTGGGGATCTACAGCAAGGCTGGGGGACCCCAAAGCCTGCTGAGGATCTCGGAGGGGGGGATCCAGCTGTCTGAGCTGCCCCCCGCTCCCCTAAAGCTCTCCCGGGGGCTGCGCATCCAAGGCGCTGCGGCTCAGGGGGATCTCCGGCAGGGTCTCCGCTCGGGACCCCTCAGCTCCGCCGCCTGCGGCGCTCTGGGCTTGGCAGCAGTGGCACTGCCCGCCAAGAGGCGCCCGGCGCGGTGCCCTGGAGGTCCTGTCCCGGGCGCCTGCTCGTCCCGGCCCAGCCCCAGCCCCGGCCCCGGCCCCGGCCCCGGCCCCAGGCTGCAGCCAGTACGCAGTTTCTGGTGGGGTTGTTCACAGTGGGGCTGCAGCCAGCCAAGCTCACCTTGTCACCAGGAGGCAAAGGGAACAGAGCAGCACCCGGCTGGCTGCAGCCACACCAGAAGCTGTGCGCTGCCCAGGACCACCAGGGCCGTTCCGCTTCCCTCACCTTCAGCTGGGGCTGCAACTGCAGCTCCTACCCCTGCCACGCTGCTCTAGGTGGGCAGCTGGGAAGCATCAGCCAGGCAGCTCCTGCCCAGTGCACTAGCTCCCAGCCACCTTCCACCAGCT